TTGGTTGGAGATCTAGTTCTGCTGCAATAATAAATATGCGCCCACTTGATAAGGCTAGGTTACAATGAAAGATTATAAGGAAGAGAGAGAGATTTAGTCACTCCCCCGCACTTTAGTAACTTTTCAACAAGTCTGCTTTAATTTGTGGCTACTCCGTTGAATAGTAGTACTCGTTTGAAATACTGTCCCCCCATCCCATAATAGCTTGGCAGGAAATATTCCGGGTGTATTGCTCATCAATCGAAATACGTGATTTCTGTGGGTTTAGGTTGTTAACGCCCTATCAGCAGGAATAATTGAGAGAAGGTGTAGATGGCTTTAGCTTTTAAATGGTTTAAATTGAGCTGAATGCGTGGATTTCAGTCATTTCATTAATGTTGGTTGGAATGTGCGATAGACTTACCTTCACGTGGTGCATCCTGGGCAACGTATATTCATACGGCAAAAAGTCTATAAACTGACAGTTGGCTTCAAACTACCATGACCCCACTGTATGTCATATTCCACTACTTCCACAGTACTCACTTTACCTAATCATTTTTCTCTGCCTTTTTGTCTGTCTGTCTCTTTTACATCTTTGAATCACTCTTCTGCTCCTCCTCTCCACTTTTTCTCACTTTGATATTCCTCTCCTCTGTGAAGTTCGAAGTTAGATAAAGGCTAATGGTAACTATCAAAACGCCTGCCATTAGAAATTAATAAATGTGGGTGGTAGTAAAGAGATGTACTGCTGACATTTATTTATTTATTTCAAATGGCAGGCTTTATGATATTTATCATTAAACTTTGATTTCAGCTTCCCCCATGTGTGGGAGGGGGGGGGGTTCATATATAGCAGTTAATTAATAGCATTTCATTAGCTGTCTTCTTGCTCCCCAGTATCTCTGTGTTTCCGTCGTTGTCTTTAGGGCTGGACACCGAATCAGGTGGGTCTTCTCCATTTCCTCCTGTAGGTTACATAGGGGGCATGTGGGTTGAGTGTATACTCCCAATCTGTGAAGGTTTTTTGCCAAGCAATCATGTCCGGTACGTAGTCTAAACTCAGCAACGGCTTCGGTTCTTGGCCAGTCGGCTATATTGGAGAGTCCCACTGTCCACTGTTTCTCCTTTGTTCGAGCTTTAAGTTCATTGCACCTTGAGGTCTGGAATTCTCTCCTGATTAAGGTCTTCATTGTGTGGAAAGACAACGGCCGATCCATGTATTGCAAAATCGTTGTCCCCTTCTTAGCAAGTGTGTCAGCAAGTTCAAGTGACCAGGAATCCATTGTAGGACCACTGTTTTGTTTTTCTCTCTCAGCAGCTCATAGAGTTTTCTATATTCGTTTATCTCAGCTGTTTGGGTGGCTCTCTGTTTCCAATTGAGTTTATTGCTGACTGTGAGTCCGAAAGTATCACCGCTTTGGTGAATTTCGTATCCAGGCCTCTATTTCTCCTTCGAAAGCGGATCTATTGTGTCCCGCTGCTGCGTAGAAAGAGAAGAGTTCAGAAGAGACACCTGCACCAACGTTTGCTTGGTTTTCTATCTATGACCCATCAGTGAAGACTAGGAGCCACTGCTGGCATTTAAGTTCCTTGGAAATAGGACAATTTCATAGACTGGTGCGAGCTAAGAGGTAATAAAGCTCTACGCGTTTAGAAGATTTTGTCACGCTTTCCTATTCCTTCCCAATACAAGCCCCCCCCCCCCCACTAAGAATTGCAGCAATTGACTTTTGTTGCCTCCAAAACCTTAAGTGTTAATAACAGTTAAGTTCAATAACCCCATTGCACAGAAGATTGCATATGGATGGCTTTAAGTATACGCATCTCCGATAGGGAGTTGTTTCAAAATTGCAAATGAATCTCCCCTTACGAATCTGCAGAGCGATATAGCTCGATCGTGTTTGTTTAACTAACACACATTGCAGAAATTGTCTTTTATTGCATTCGTACTTGGCATGCATATATATATTACGGGGTGGGTGAATAAAAGCCTACGTTAGGATGAAAATGACAATTGATTTTAGCTGTTGGTTCGTGAAAAACTTCGATGTTTCAAGTAGTGGGTTGCTGTGTGATGACAAGTGGTAAAAAATTGGAACGGCCAAAGAGCGTAGTTTGTTAAATTAATGTATTTTAAATTTTACATCTGATCATAATTCAGCCTGATCTGCTGGCTTTGCCATATCTTTTACCAATTAACTTCGATTTTTTTTCACTCTCCCATTCCTTACACTGTCAATTAAATTGACCTATTTAGCCTTTCATTGAAACGCAGGCATTTTGCTAGGGGATAGATAATGTTTATTTATTTATTTATATCAAGTGGCAGGCATTTTGATAGTTATCATTAGCCCTTTAGCTGACTTCGGACTTCACAGAGGGGAGGAACAGCAAAGTGAGAAAAATTCGAGAGTGGGAACAGAAGAGTGATTCACAGTTTTAAAAAAAATAGACAGACACAGAGTTAGGGAAGCAGTTAAGGTGAGTACTATGGAAGTGCTCGAATGTGACATACAATGGAGTTATGGAAGTGTGAAGTCACCTGCCGGTTTATAACTTTTTTGGGGTATGAGTATACGTTGCCCAGGGTGCACTACGTGGAGGTGAGTCTATCGCGCACCCTGGAATTGAGAAAGCTAAAGATTATAAATTGTGGCTTTTTCTCTCCGCAAAGAATGATAACGATCGATGGCTCTGTTGCCTAGGCTAGATAATAGTCACACTGAGTCCCCAGTTTGACCTTCTTATCAGGGTTCACTCTTAATGAAGATGAAATGTTTAAGAAATCTCCCGACTGTTTATTGTGAAAAGAATTCTTTTTTCAGCATTTCTCTTTGAGAAGTGCCCGCCTTCGTTTTTAATGTCTGCATTACATTGATGTTATCGTCCCATTAGTATCCAGCTGGCTAATCAATTCCTTCCTCCCCAACTGATATCGGACTTTGCGGATCGTGCAATAGTCGATGTTTTATAGCAGCCACTCATCATTACGAATTAGGAACACAAAAAAATTAAAATTAACTCTCCATAAACAACTCGTTTTCACTTTTGCTCTGCTGATGCCTTTCCTTGCAATCATAAATTATAATTTCCATCATTCATCTCTCTCTCTCCCCACCCTACTCGTATCGTTTGCCTCGTACATTCTTGTTCCCTTCTCATTCCTGGTCGGTGGATTTTGGAATGAATGTTGCATCCTCTTAACAAATGAGTGGATCAATAGTTTTTGAAGCTCCAATAACTTGAAAGTTCTCATACACTTAACTTAGTCGACATTCTTATGGAATACATAAAAAACGAAAGGTATTCCGATGGTATTACCATTAATCATAGCAAAACAATTTCATAATTTTCCATCCAAATACAAGCTGTAGAATGAAGTCGAATAGGGGGGGGGGGGGGTATGAACACTATTCAGGACATCAAATGAATCGCATTTCATCTAACTCCTGTGTGAGGTTGCACACTTGTCACTTAATGAAATCCTGAACGGCTACGCATACACAAACTTCAGTTAGCTAGGTAAATCTAAATCCGCAAATTTTCAAGAGTCGATAACTGATAGTATAGCCCAACACTTTCTCCTACTCTTGAAAGCAAGTTTATGCAAATTTGAAAGTGACATGAGCTCACAATTTTTGCCGCCTTCCTCTTAGCCCCAAAGTAGAAAGCTGACAATATTGAGAGGTGCCAAAGTGGAGTAGTTATGAAAGCTACTTTGGAATTGTCACTAATAGTAAAATGATTGCTAGTTGACTGCAAACATATCGAATATTTTTTTGATATTGCAATTAAACGGAAGACTGGGATCAGTTGAATTTAGACTTCTTTTCGTAGAATTCTATCAAAAATTTTGGGTCGGGGGGGGGGGGAATGGAATTCAAAAATTTTCTAAATGGTCCTGTAGCCTCCAATCGCTTGACATTGACCTGTTCTCAGACCATTCCCACCTGCTTCCCTCAATTTTCGTAAAGGCCAGATCAAAAAATTATTAACTTTTGACACTGAAATATCACAGGTCCCGAACAGGGTTGTCACTTGGTTTATCACTTTCTACACAAATATGTTAAAATCACGTAAACTGGTCATATCTTGATGCCTTGATACTTGGTAACACGGAACATCCTAACCACTTAACAGACCGATAAGCACAAATATTGTGGTAATCCAGGCAAACAATCATGAAGTCTGGTTTTCGAATCAGGAGTGTGCGATAGACTTACCTCCACGTGGTGCACCCTTGACAACGTATGCTCATACGGCAAAAGGTCTATTAATAGGCAGTTGACTTCTCACTTCAAACTACCATGATCCCACTGTATGTCATATTCCACCATCTTACCTTTCCTCTACCTTTGCGTCTGTCCGTCTCTTTTACATCTGTGAATCATTCTTCTTCCCTCCCCCCCCCCTCCACTCTGTGAATCTCGAAGTCAACTAAAGGGCTAATGGTACCTATAATAGTCAGCAAATTGATATAAATTTTTGAAACACGAGTCAACGAACAGCAATCCGATCTCCTAATCGTTTTCCCTACTGAATCTTGCTTCAAGTAATTGCAGTTTTGCCTTATAACGTTCCGAAACTAAGCAGTCTAAGTGCAAATTCTCCCCCCCCCCCGTCTCTTAGTAATAAGAGCAGTCAAGTTAAAACAAAAAACTCATTATTTCCCTGAATACTTTTTCTCATCATTATAGGAAATAAACAATAGTTATGTACTCACACAAGTACAGAGATAATGAAAGAAATCTTTTGTAGTGTTCACATATAAATTATACACATACACATACAGGAAAGGATAAAGAAATTGGAGAGAAGTAAAAGGCGATTATTGAAGAGGAGAGTGGAGTCAAAAAGCACGGCTTCAATACACACAGCCGTCAAGAAGGTGTCTCCTACTTTATTACTTCCAATGCAAAAACAAAATTAGTCGAAAGAGAGGTGGAGAGAGAGGTGGGGGGGGGGGGGGGGGGGCGGGAGTGATAAACCACGAGGAAAAGGAGATGCGTGTCTTCACACTACACAAGGTAGACATCATTGTACTGTTGTTCATGCCCTTCTGTGCCAGCTCCATCGGTGCTGCTTTCGCCATCTTTAGCGCCAAGATCTGTCGTTGACGGTGGAATAACAGGTGTCAGCGGAGCTGGGGGGTGGAAAGGAGAGAACCAACGCCAAGAGAAGGGACGACCGAAGACGTTTGCCAGGGACTCACGTTTTGAAATTCGGGGTCTAGCCACGCCCTTATCGCGCTTTAAGCTCTCTACAGCCTGGCAATATTTGTGAAATAAGAACACAGGGTTATGAGAAATAAATCATAAACACGCAGTTGACATGTAGCTAGGGCATTAGGGGTGAAGAGATGTGATTGGGTAACAAAAACAGTGCATTGGGTATAGAATAAAAAGAAATGTGGTGGGAATGAGAGCAACTCCAATATCAAATAATAAGAATCCACAGAAAAAAGTTTAAGAAGTTGGTAGGTAAGAAACTAAATGAAACAAAGAAAGAATAACCAAATGAGTGAGATATCCACCGAGGGCACAGGGGTCAATAGGCACGACCACCAAGTCGTTGACTTATACCAGAGGAAAACATGATTCACCTTTCTCCCCAAGAAACATGTGTCAGCTTTGGAGTTCATCCACGATTTGCATTATCGGTTTCTGGGAAAGGCTCTGTCAGGCATCAACTTCTCCAACTATCTAACACCTGCTCGTTGAGACCTGATATGCCAATCAGTCTGTTTTTTTTCTCCAGCTTGCCAGTTCAGGCCCAATGATTTTCTTCTGCACCCTCTCGATTGTCGTTATCTCAACCTCCTTCCAACTTTGAAGGCGAGTTCGCAAGACTAATAACGATAATAGCCCAGTTCATTACATCACAGTGTCAAAAATTCTGGGCGTCGAGGCGGCGGAATATCAATGAATGCAATAGAGTGGTGAGAAATAGGAATTAGTCGTTCGTAAGCTTTTCAAGAGCACACGACCACTTATTCCCTCCGTGTTTCAAGGGAGAGAAGAAAGCCACACAGCATTCATCCCATCGATTGGAAGGACAAATATGCGAGACGAGATAAACCTAGGTGTGATGTAACCATGACGTAGAACTCCGATAAAAGAACTAGAGCACCTCCTTTAGATTGACAGAAAACCACAGAGGAAATCTCTACCAAAACATCACAAGCTCAAATCGTGAATAGTACAAATACTTAAGAACTTGCTAAAAAAATCATTGAAACCGATTCAACCCAAAGAACAAAAGAAAGGTCGTTGAGTGCTCTGAGCACGCACAAAAATGGCTACTTCACCTGAAAGGCCCAAAATAGGCACAAAAAAGTAGAGAATACACTTAGAGGAAGAGTTAAAATCAGTTTCTCTCACTTTGGAGAATAGCAAGGTATTGATTTCACCTTGAAAAATAAAACCGCAGTAACCATAGGAACTTGAGCAATGGGAGCTATGATTTACAGTGAAGAAATGCACTAAAATGTTAATTGAAAGAAAATTGCACAACCCATTTCAATACTTTCTACGACCACGTTTAGCACGAAAAGAGTAAGAAAGGTGACCGAACTAAAACTGATAAGTTTTGACGCTTTGAGAGAGAGAGGTATTCAGGTCAGAATTCTGGAGCACAAGAGTATCAGATTACTAGTATTAAAATGGAATTATATATGCTATTACTTCTATATTACTGGCTGAAGTGGGTAGCCAAGCAATGTTCGTTATAGAGAGGAGGAACACTGAGGTAACATTAGCAAAACCTCCACGGGCAATGGAAGTGGCGAAATGGGGGAGAGGTTACCATTGGAATAGATCTCATAGCAAATAAAAAGTTGGGCTTAACAGAGGAAATAAAATGACTCATAGGCATTGATATGTGTTAAGAGCTAATTAGGCTATTAGTTAACGAGAGGGCCAATAGATCAAATCGAGATAGCTAATGAGAAAGAGAGAGAGAGAAGTTAGGGGGGGGGGGAGAAGAGGAGGAGGATGGAGAAGAGAGCAGTGAAGAGCAAACGTACAGTTTCGTCTTTGCAAATACTGAAGAGTTGGGAGCCTCCAATGGCAGCAGTGAAGATACCGAAAAGGAGAGACTCAAAACCTGCGCTGATGGCGAGCATTGTGGAGGGCAGCGATGTGAGCGATGCATTGGTCGCACCGAATGATGTGATTAGCCGATTCTTACATATTGCTATACAGGGGCAGCACCACACAACACGAATATAGACAAATGCTTGCACAATCATAAATACACGTCTTAATAGTGTCTAAGCACAACCTACCTAACTATTTAGCTATTTGAAGTGCCTATCAGGTTAAGTTTGAGTTAGAGAAAGACATTTATCTACTATTCATGGTTACTGTGGCGTGCTCGTCATAAATATAAAAAAATACCATGGAATGGAGAAAAAGATTTCAAAGGATCTATTATCACTTAACAAAACGGATAGTGAATGAAAACTCCGCATTAACTGAACAAATAGTTCTTTGTGTGCTATCTGAGGTTTCAACGTAGTGAAAACTACCGCTTTCGGTAATACAGTAGTCAGCGTGCAGGTCTGAAAAGTAAGGGATAATAAGACTCCACCATCGCTGCACACACCCCAGTGGTGCTGGTGACAAATTGCTCCGGTAGGGTCTGGTCAACTCTTCAATTAAATTCAAGTTCAATCATTAACTCCCATAGCATTAACTTCAAGCAAATATACATGTGAATGTACTTTCCGATGTTGAAAATAGAGCTTTTTATGAGAATGTAAATTTCTATGTGCGAATAAAGCAGACAACCTTATCAAAGGGGGTAGCTGTAACAGTTACAGTGTGGTTAGAGCCTACTGGAATGAGGTTATTAGGTCATATTAAGTGAAGCGGTCAGCTGAGACAATCATAACAGTATGCTGGCAACTGATTATTCATAATTCCAGCAGAGTAGTCTCGGTAGTGCATACATTGCACTCATGGTTTGAAGTTTCTAATTCCAAAGAAGTAACCGCAAGTCATCAAGTTAGTCTCTAAAAGAGCTAAAAAACAGTTTAGAACCTCTAGACATGCACATGTCGAATTCATACTTAAATGAGTCGCCTTACAACTAGCAGAGATTGAGAATCTACAAGGCTGTTAAACTACCTTAGTGGATTAGGGCTGTAAGTGAGAAAATGTTAGATAAGTCGGACAAGCACGCCACCACGAGAAAACAACTAAACCAACGTGGGTGTTAAGACCATCATCTAGAACCAGCCCAAGATGCAGACGAAGGCGGAAAAAGGGAGTGGGGAAAAACGCAGAGGAAAAGTGTCAGAAACACAAGAAAGTAGAGATAGAGGAAGAGAGAGAATGGAGTGTTTTGAGAGGGAAAAGAGGGTGGGGGGGGGGGGGACGGGAGAGGAGGAGGGTGGAGGGAAGGACATTTACTCACAGTTTCATCGGAGATGATTGCGGAGACCTGCGAACACGACATGATACTTGTGAAGAGTCCGAAGAAGACTGACTCCGAGACGAGGAATATGTTGTTGATTAGAGAGGCTGTAGCACTGTAACTACCCGGATACTCGCACACTGACCACGAACGAAACGGAAAGTGAAATTAAATGAATCATACATCACAAAGTGAAGGAAAGGTATAACTTTTTCCTTACAGCAATTAGCAAAAGCAGCATTATGTAACAAGTAGAGGGAGATAGCCAGAGAGCAAGAAAGGGGAGGGTAGCGTCCTAACTGGGCTGGGCTTTGTTAGCCTAACCTCGAGACTATATACTACTTTTTTCAAACATTAAATGTTAATGACAAAACCTGCTATTACGCACCCGGTTCATGAACTAAATAGGCAAAACATATAATTAATCAACATTGAGTAGGCCACAAATCTTATAGATAATGCGTCTTAGCTCAAGTCATGATAGCATATACTACTTGAGATCAATAAGTAAATGCAACTTACTTCCGAATTCAGAAAAACAGGAGAGGAAGAAGCAAATGGAGAGGATCATGCCCACCACCGAAACGAGAAATATATAGAGCTGAAATGGGATGAACGGGAAAGGCAAATTTAAATTTCAGGCTTTTCGTAGCTACCTAATCGAAATGGAAAAAGGACGGGCGCGAGCTTACGTTAAAGAGAACGAAAAATTTTTGGTTTCCTTCACCGACACAGTTATTGACCCATGGGCAGTGATGATCCATCTTGCGAACACACCGACGACAGCAACTGAAAGGTAAGGGATGAATGATTACAGACATGCTTCTATCAGTTTAATCAAACGCCGCATAGCTGTATGATCAATCACCTAGTTAATCCAGTTAGTCAGCAGGCATTGAAAATCGAGGACGTCAGCTCATTCAAAAAAAAACGGATATCGAATAATTAAAAGTGACATTTCAAGTGAATTGCCCCCCCCCCCCGCCCCATGAGTGAGTCGACAACTCAATGCATGGACGATTCAAGTGAAGAATTCATTACTTGACTACTTTCCTACTTTGCACACTCCGATGCCTGTAAAGTATTTATGTATTGCCAATGGTGGGAAAAAAAAAACTGAAATTATATAAGTGAAAGAAGGACATACGTACGAGGTACCACAAGTCTAAGCCTTTTCCATAAAAGGGCTTGAGAAAGCGAAATCCACTAATCATTACCAATCAGAAACATTCACAAAGTGAAGTGCGACCTTTTTGAATAAGATTCAACCAGCAAACAGTAATATGTTGGGTAGATGACTGTTAGACGGCCTGGCAATTTACAACACCCATACCCACAAACCATGAAGCTCCTTTTAGATATTGAGGTCACTAAAAAGGGCCAAAGTGGGTCTTAGCTAACTCACAATTTCGATTATTAGATAAGAGATGTGAATTCACCTATGAACACTAGGGCACTCTAATTAACTAAGTGTGACACATTATTCTTACGCCCAAAACAGCCACAAATTTTAGAACTCAATATAGACACACAGAGACACAAAAAGATAGTATTTACTGTAAAATTATGCAATTTGGCATATTTCAACAAGTATGACCACTTAATGATTAATTAACAATAAGCCGTTAATTGAATATTTGTCGGAAAATGCACTGCATACGAAATCCCCTCATTGTGTGGCCTTACAGCTTCAAGTTACTATAATGGAATTCTAAGCTCCAAGCCGAAAATCGCACTTTCTGGTTCTCTTATTAAGAGAAGATAGGGTAGAAGGCTAAACTGTCAACCTTTCCAGCTGCGAAATAAAATAGTATGCGGAGGGGGAGAGGGAGAGAGAAATGGCGACTCAGTTAAGTTACCCCCTAACCCAAAATGAGCGTTGGAAAGCGCTTTGCTAAATGAGATCAGAAGTTAGTAAGAAGTGCTTAACAAGAAGACTTGGAAATGATAAGGACTTATAATTGAAATTGGGGGTGCGCGATAGACTTATCTCCACAACGTATACTCATACCGCAAAAATGTCTATAAACTGACGGTTGACTTCTGACTTCAAACTAACATAACACGACTCATCTTACATTTTCTCTGCCTTTGTGTCTGTCTGTCTCTTTTACATCTGTGAATCACTCTTCTGTTCCCCTCCCCCTCGAATTTTGTGATTATGATGTTCCTACCCTCTGTGAAGCCCGAAGTCAACCGAATGCCTAATGATAACTCTTATAAAGCCTGGCATTTGAAGTAAATAAATTGAGTTGCATTTTAATGAACTGTCATATTTTCAAGACATACCTGCAGTGATGCGCTCGCTCAGGTTTAATGCAGAGACACTTGGGGCAGCGAATGAGAGGAGTGTTTGAACCAGAAACGAGGTATATCCGCATAACGGCCTCTCGAGTTGCATTGCCTAACCGAATTGCGCCCTGAAGGAGAAACTAAGAATAAATCACATCCCAACACTTCTTAAGGAGAGAAAAACCAGCAGAGAAGGGAAGGATACATTTAATGGCTTCAATAATGTGTATATAGGCACATATATCTGTGAGTATGCCTTTCATGAAATTACGATTTGGACTAATTAGTCCTGAATGGCAAATACAGCTTTCTAATAAAAGAGGTACCAAGAGGCGTGATTTAAAATGTTAGCCTCAAACAGTCTGGTGAATTATTGTCAACCATTCTTAAAATCTTAGCAATTTCTATGAGTTCAAAGTTAATCTGAACTTGAAATAGCACTACAGGTAGTTTCNTGTCGATTGGGATGCGCAATAGACTTACCTCCAAATGGTGTACCCTGGACAACATATACTCATAGGCAATAACAATGTTAAAATTTTGGCAGAAGACTTCAAACGACCAGCACCCCACAGTATGTCATACACAACCACTTCCACAGTACTCACTTTTCCTTTTCCTCTTCCTTTGTGTCTGTCTGTCTCTTTTACATCTGTGAA